ATTATATAGCTAATTATATAAAAACAATAAGGTAAAACTTATCATATAATTCAGTTTGAGACTGTACAAAAAGCTGTGCTCACTAGACGGTCAGAAATATATTTCTGTGTAAGTTATATATTATATAATGTGCTGTAACGTATTACTGAGTTGAGACTAAGCGTACTGAAAAATTAGCAACACAGCATGTTAGGTTTTAGGCACAGGACACATATTTTATGGAAATAAAACATTTAAATCGTCTCACAAAAGCAATTACAAGTGATTGAGGTAAATGTTTTTAATAATTAATACGTGACTAAAATGTTGCATTTTCTGACTGAGTATTGAGTAGAAGAGAAGATTATGCTCGTTAATAATATTTAAAGGACCAGTTAACTGAAAAATTTGTAGTCTCCAATTTGGCTAAGATTTAAATTAGCTGTGACAAACTGGTAAAGAATCGTATCGCCGAAAGAACCAATTCTCTAGCGTACGTGTAACGCGTGTTATTGCAATAATAAGCTGTGGCCTCGTGACGTCATAAAGTCCCTCAGTGCGCGCTTGCATAGCGTAATACATTGCAAATGTTTATCATCGTTAATAAAACACGTGTAACTCACTCAAATTTTAGAATTATGACTATTACCCTTGTTCTCCAAAATCCTTATAGTTTTGGCTATCATCCTAACTAAAGGAATAGCTGATTGGATGTACAGTGCTCACGTCATGATTTTAAACAGTGATATAGGTTCTTGAACAGTGGCGGGTGAATGTACGGTTAGAAAGTTTCTGCTATTACAACTTATGTCATATGTGATAATTTGGGATTGTTTTCATTGCTTAATTACACAAGCAGGGAGACTGTACCGATTATTTTTCCCCAGTCCAAGAAACTCTAACGAATTTAGAAAGGATCTAGATAAGTAGGATCAGTTTGTTCAATTCCGAGAGCAATTATATTTATATCACAGCGAAATTTCTAACTTAAATCCGCATGTGTCAGCCAGTACAGGAGACAAGAAGTCTGGCTACTTTACGGCCGTTCCTCTGGGACCATTAGTAGAAGTAGCTTCTATCAGAACAGTGCCGTGGGAACAGAATTCCCGCCATAATACCCGGTCTACCAAATGATTGGAGTGTACGGTGTGCGGTGTGTTTTGAATTAGACTTACGGCTTACCTAGTTGTTATCCTAATTGCATTATCATCGGTACATAACATAAATAAACTACTGGTAAGTTTAAATACCAAGTGCAAACGTGTTCAGTCAATCGACCCATTGAACAACTATAAAATTTCCAAGACCCTATTATTCTCTGGCCATATATTACGGCACGATCGATTGTTAGATGGCTAAACGACCAACGTTAATCTATACAATTCTAAAACTATGAGCTAGCACTTTAATCTAAAAATACACTTTTTATATTACTCCTGATTTTTACATTTCACGTAAAACATTGTCGCCACAGGTTGATCATGGACACTAACCGCTTAATTTGAGATAAATGACTTATGAGTTTCTCTAAAGTTAACTCTAAAGTTGTGTAGTCCAGTCATTTATGGACATTTATGGAAATGAACCTGCAAATGTTCAAATACTCACGAAACTTTGCACAGACCTTCCTGAAGGTATGAATAAACGATTTTCGTTCGGAGACATTTTTTTGACCGTGGAGAAAACCCAGGAGGGCCACGCCCATATTGACCCAATAACGTAACCGACCCCTTGCTTCTGAAGGTCGTAGAGACTTCAAAATAGGCTTAAACGAAGCGGCATATGCATGTTTATATAGGAGTTACTGAGCAACACATGGCCTAAAATCCTTACTTTTCGAGAAATTTGCCAAAAACCATTTTGGGCGTGGTGCTGAGCCCATTTTCGATAGGATCGTGATAGAGTCTTTACACAGGGTGCAAAAGAACCGCAATTAGCATATTAATATATGACTTGCGAACAAGCATATGCCTTAAAGTGCTTACTTTTTCAGTTATTGGCGAAAAACTGATTTTCGGTTCCAGAAATCATGCAAAACTATGGGTATCTGGTAAATGGGGCTATGAAGGTCCTAAAGGTTTTTGAATGTGTGCAAATTGTGCAGAATGGCCCTGTTTATATACAACTTATGAAGCAACATGTACCCTAAATTACTTACTTTTCGAGTTATTCGGGGAAAAACATTGTATTATGTCCATTTTCTACCTGTAAAATACAGTCTCACGAGCTCTTCTGCGCGCGCAAGGGACTTTATGACGTCATCGCCAAAATAATACAAACGCTATTTACACGCGTTAGAGAGCAGTTAGAGATTTAGGAATTTCGACTCGTTGCTTAGTTAGCTATTTGTCACAATCAGTCAAAATATGAGGATAACTTTTTTTTCAGTTAACTGGTCCTTTAAACTTTGTGTATAAATATCATCCTATATTTGTATAAATGATATTAGTATTATTAAATTATGATAGTGCCTAAAATACCTTGTAACCTTACTCAATCATGGTAGTAATCGTTTAAAGCAAGCCAAGCAAGTAGCTTCGTATACAGGCTACAAGCTGGTTACTAAATATAATAGATACTGGTCACCAGTAACAGCGTGACAGTGATTCTGGGGCTTGATTGGTAAATGCTGAAAGTTAACGATTTTAATTAATACTATGAGCTCTGTTAAGGGCGACCAGCAGCTTCATCACAATTTACTAACTAAAGAGTTCATTTTTATCGCCTGATTGATTCATTAATACGAACGCTTTAGACGTTAGTACGGAGTAAAGGTGATAAAAAAGAGCCCAAATCCTCATCAACCTTCATTTTTGTAAAGCTTCTCTAATGTTTCTTTCATTGAAATTACCACGATGTAGTTATTGACTGCTAGCTTGAGTAAACTTGCGTGTTATTTGTGCGTGTGACTGGCTACAGTCATTAAATCAGACAGTCATTGTAAGAATGACAATGACATGTACTAACATCGCATGACACGCAATCTGCCATGGACATGCTCACTTTTTGTTGAGATGAAATTCGAATACACACATTTCAGAGCATATAATGATCCCCAATAACTCCTATACAACTAATGTGATTGCCTTTAAAATTATAGCTTTCCTATGGCTCTCGATTTGCAAAATAAAATGTAGGCCACCTGCCACAAATGTTTAATTCATGATGCAATCAAAAATATATACATATTGTATAAGACCATCAATAATTATATGTTAGCCAAATACTGACTGTCTCATGCGAGACAATCAATTATGTGTTAGCCAAATACTGATAACTAAATTCATGTCTCTGTAATTTATCAATTTGACGAGAAGTGCTTAAAGTAAAGAAGTTACGGAGTTTTATATTAACAAGAAGGAATGTAACAGGTAACTGTGTCGATATATTTTAATGTTGCCATGGGGTGGCAAGTCCCAGTTGATCGCAGTCCGATAGTTTCACCGCTTCCAAATATATGCAAGAAGAACTGGGAGGTTTCATGAATCCACAGGGAAAATATAGTTTCAGTGATGAGGAGATCAGAGATGAGATTTCAGTAAAGAAATTCGAAAGGATAGGATATCATTTGAATCAAAAATACAATATTTTAAAACCCTTATCAAACTCAATGCGGTGTTTACATTTACACGTATTGCAAATTTATATATATTGTATGTATATATATATCGAACTAATATTTAAAAAAACATGTGAACGGTGGTAAGGCTGGTGCAAAGCAACGAATGATTTTCAACATAGCATGTTGCACTTGATTCATGCAGCTTAACAACATGTCCCATTTGAGAAATGTTACCCTATTCATTCTTGGCTCTGCGTAAATGTATTTGGAACTGCAACCACTGTTCTCTTTGCAAAGAACGAGGTATGTTGCGGTTAACCATACCAATAATAGTCTATACCACAAGGTATTAGTACCATCTGAGCGGTAAAACACCGTGCTTTATCTCATACAGTCTACAAACACTACATTTAGAAGTTGCGCGTACTTCCGGCTATATAATATATCAGAGTCTATAATATACTTTACTAAAGTTACTTTAACTATGCCTTGCACTGGCAGTTTGTTTTTACAAGTGATGTAGAGCAAACAAACACGCCTAAACTTGACTTATGGACTATCATATTACTTCTAGAAAGCCAGTAAACGTAATGGAGTTAACGTAATGGAGTACAATTAACAGAATGAATATAAATATACTATGTATTTAAACAATTGAAACAATCAAAAATGGTGGGCAAATAATCTTTTTATGACAGCGACAAAATAAAACCAATAATCGACGATTTAGGCGATGAAATAAATCGTTTCCCCACAAATTATAATTGTTTTAATTGTTATTGCATGTCAGTATCGCAGAGAACTCATTAAATATATAATAAATACGATTATAACATGCACTCATTACCGTGCTAGCAACTATGCTGCCCACGTACATCATGTACAGACATGAAGCTTGGAGGAAGTAATATTACATATATCATATTATAATGTAAGACGGGAGTACTCTCATAAAGATTAAAGATAGAGTGTGTGGAAGATGCAAAGTACGAGGTACCAATTATACACACTTATAAGATCAGACATTTTAAGTTATTGTTATTGATCAGTATTATGATCATCCCTTACATGACAGCAAAACGAACAGTGGTGTTAGACTACAATGTACATCCTAGACATTTTACCTCTAAATTTAAGATGACAGTTTATGTGGATTGTGGAGTTACTGTTAGTATTAAAGGTCTAAGTAAGTCACGCGACATCCATTCTAAAGGTGAATCTTTTTACATTCAGAACAATTCAGTAGACAGTCTTTTCTCCCAATACTCAACAAACCAACTCTGGTAGGAGATACTGAAATGGCAGACAGACTAGAATAAAGCAGGCATGTACAGTTTGTTCCTCACGAACGGTTTATTTACCACAAAACGACTGAGCCATTTTACGTTTTCAATTCATTTCATAATTATATGTTGAACAAAGCTGTCTATTATTGAGTAAAACACGCTGTTTTTATTTTAAAGTTTAGAAACAATAAGGTCTAAGAATAAGATTTATTATACATTTACACAAAACTAAATCACTGATAAGCTAAATCACTAAAGAAACTAAAATAAAATCTCTCAATTTTGTTTAAACATGGACGTCAGTTAACCTTAAGTTAACAATATTATATCAGAAAACTATTATAAGCTCTCTGGTTTAAAAACGTCTTGCCGCACAATATAAATATAAGTAAGGTTAATACATTTATCAGAATCTGTCTGTTATCGTGGATCTCAGATGCAAAATCAATAGTGTATAACACCAAGAGTGTATGACACCTAAATATTTTACAGCAGTGAGATCGAAAACCTTTTTTTATAGTAGCTAGCGAAGTCGAAGAGATTTTATTAATATACCTATTTCAAATTGAAAATTAGACTTAAACTACACACATGCACGCACTGTTTAATAACTTCAAGTTCAGGTAAAATTCAGTCTAAACGTCATACAATTCTACATTATATTTATAATGTTTTGTGACTCGCAAAAGTTGGATTTTCTCGCTATATAGAAACTAAGAAACTTATCCGTATATCATGCATGTAATTGAGTTATCTTTGTATAAGTCTATACAAATCTTAATTCCAATTTCCAAGGTGCAAATCTAAAATAAGGATTTTGTAATACACTAATCATGCTTTATCAGTTTGTCGGTTACGACTGTTGTGGGGGCAAAATAACAGTGTTCCCAGAATATTTTCAGATCAAGGTAACGAAAAACTTTTGAAAATTCAACCATTTTAAGTTAGGTGATACGATTTAGCTAGAAACTAACCTGAATGATGTTTTAAATTCAAGTTTAAAACTCCATGGGAAACCAACAAAAATTCACAGAAAATAAAAATTAATACATGTCCATTACTGATAAGTGCTTATTGCTAACACAATGGGTAACAATACCAACCTGTGCAATGGGTCGATGAAAAGAAGGTAAAACTTGTTAGTGTGGGCTGAATAAAGCTAAAGATATGCCCATTATTTGCATTCAAAATAAAGACCTCCTGTCCTCTAGGGCTAATTCAAGACATACCCAAAGGTAAATATTTGCAGTTCATATTTTTATAGATAATAAACCTAATATTCAAATAACTATAACAGGATATATGAACAGACCTGGAGAGAAACTATTTACCATTCAACTGCAATGGTGTAAGATAAGGCACTAATTCACATGTTAAAAGGGAAATCAACATACGATTAAAGCTTAGATAAACTTAATATTTTAATACGGGTATCTTTACCAAAATACATCGTACTTGATCTGAAAAATTATGTATACAGTCCCCCAATTCCACATTGTTGTGGTGTCTTTTATCCACCGGCACCATCATTCTTCATGTCAGTTGTAGCATAATCCCACATCAGAGCAAGTGCTGTCATAAAGGCAACATCAATGTCAGGCTCAATTGAGAGGCAGTAGAAGTCTTGAGAAGTGAACAACTCTCTGGCAACGTCCTTGCTCATACGAGCATATAGCTCATCAGTTTCTCCATTGTATATCTTTATGTCAAATCCCATGACAGATGCTTTCATCATTATCAGGGGTTTCACATTGCTGAAGAAATTATCATTTGGTCATAATAATTTGAATGAGGATACTGCCTACGTGTGTTCGACTAAACCTACCCAAAATCAACAAACTGTCCAATTCATTTGACCATAATATAGAAGTTAAGATCATCCAATTATTAGAGAACACTATATGGATTATTTTCTCTCTGATACCTGTAATCAGTGTCATCATCCTCATGTGGGTAAGGTGGCTCATAGACATAAACGTAGCATTTGGTGTGCAGGGCAAAATGTCTAAAGGCCATTGTAACCATCCGTTGTTCCATACCCTCGCCAGCATTCATGTGCCATGTGTATCGCAAGGCCATTATCTTCTTCTTCATTTTGCAAATCTCGTTCCCATATGCATCAAGCATTATATGCTTCTCGCGCATGGTTTTCCATGGATTCTTGACCTGTTAGTGAAAAGTCAGCAATCAAACATATAATACTATGAAAGTTCCATGTGAAAATTTCAACAATGGAGCACTTAAATTCACATAAAACACCAAAACTATTTTTCACATTGACTCAGATATAATGGTTTTAATAAAGCATTTTGAAACTCACTTGAAAGAACAGATTTCCAGCACTATCAGTGATTTTGAAACAGTCTTCCCTAAGTTTGAAAAACTTTTCCCTCAGCATGATCTGAAATGGTCCTGGCATGCAATATTGAGGCCCAAACATACATATCTTGTGACTTGAATCCGCTTGCCTCAATGATTGGTGAGTTGTTATCGCAGCCATCTTAAATCGTACCTATAAAAACAAAATGGTATTCAGAGCTGTAACAGCTACAAAAATAATCTAGTCTTACACAATTTGAAACTTTCATCAACAGAATTACACAAGGCATGGGACATGCTCAGACTGGTTAGAGCAGTCGCGAGTGAACAGAAATTGACAGTACTAAATGATTGGGGAAATCAGTAACATCAGTAAGTCATTTAGAGTACTGTTGCCCTCTGTGGAATACCAGTAAAATCTCAGACATCCAACAGATTGAAGGAGTACAGCCTACTTTCACCTCAAGGATTTGGGGTGTTCAACATCTTGACTATTGCCACCAAAAAATGTTTGTTAAGGAGACTTATTTAGACCATACATGGATATTATAGTGGGGAGATTTTTTTTTAAATTGTGTAGTAGAAAAACCTGAAAAGAATCAAGACAACATACTGCAATCAACAGATCGAACAGGTATTTTCACAATGGTCAGTGAAACAATCTAGATCAATATATCTTCTAATTTATCTATACTATATTTTAAACTTGACGAAATCGGCAGCGGGGACAAAAAACACTGAAAACCGACCTAAAACCGACCCTCGGATGTCACCAATTTCAGCTTGCAAATGGAGTTGAAACCATGCGATTTTTAGCAGAGTTGTAAAAAAAGGACAGGAATAGGATATAGCATTCTTAAAATTTTGATTAAGGATTTAAATGTTGGTATAATTAACGTCAGAAGCGAGGTAAAATAACCTTTAGAATAATGTCGTAATTTTCTTTCTAAAAATTTTTTTTCTCTCTATGACTATCCATAACTTTGGTTTGTGATTGATGTTTTTTGATGCGGTGAAAAGTATCAATTAGGGAATACTGAAATAAAACCTTTATCATTATTGGCATATAGAAATTCATACAATTTATATTAAGAAGCTAGATCATAGATAGATAGATGATGACAAGAAACAATAACATAACTGCTTAACTGATTTTAAATTTCCTTGAATAAAGCTTTCAGCTAGTAGATGTACAGGTTTGGGGAAGCCTATGAGCTAGGTAAGCAAATAACTTAGTGTATACCACATTAGATGGCACAACACTCATACTCGAAAAAAGATTTACAATCGTACAAGAACAAGAATTGCGCCCGTTAGGCCATAGGCGGACGCTAAATTCCCATATACTGTCTTTTTAAGTCCTATAATTACAATTCCAAATTCTATATCATAATATTTAGCAAAATTTGTTCGAATATAATATAGGCATCGCGATTAATTTGCATTGACATACGTTGCATGCCAATTTTCGCGCCAGCGAAGCGCGCGCCGCTGAAGGCGGAAATATATATCTCTCATATCTTTCATATATATCTCTGATATTTGGGATACGTAACATGTATCAAAATTTGCAGTATGACTACTGACTACGTTCACTGGTTACAGTTAGCTATGTTATTTTTAACAGCTGACCTGTTGACCATTGTTAATTATTTGGCCCGGCGAGAAGAAAGCGGGGCGCGCTACTTCAAAGAAATTTAAACGAGTAACATCCGTCAACTGACCTAATGTCTGATGCGTCTCCATGAATTGACTAATCTGGCTGTCTTTTACTGGGCCGCGCTCAGCCTGTCATTCCGCCAAATCTATATTCGGCGGATATGTTAATGAACATAATAGCCTGGGGTCCTCAGGTAAGCTGTCTTTTACAAATTAGTAGAGGCTCTTACGGGCAAATATCGCACTTCTCTGCTCGAGCCCTGGGACTTCTTTTAAAGTTCTTATATGATAGAATGGAGTGTACTGAACACTCTGACGGTATCGGGAACCTTCTAGAGCCTTCAGAAGCTGTGTTGTGAGCACTTTACTGCCAAAACTTCGGACATCTACAGACACCGGAATATCGACTAAAAATTTTTTTTGAGTTGTTCCCCTAATTTCTCTTAGGTTGCTTAAGCCCCAGAAAGTGTCAGATCGTCTAAATATTGCTCCATTCCGGAGTTAGAGACCTCGAAAATTTCGACCTCGTAGAACGTGTTGCGCGTCGTATGTAGTGTTTACAATGAAAAAAGTGCACTTAAATCTGATTCGGTTGCGGCGCGTGACGTATATAGCACGATATTTGCTCAAAAGCGCGTCACTGCGCCAGAAACCTCGTGGTACCGTAACACTGTAGAAATAGATAATCACAAGAGACACAATAAAAGTATCATCACTATGCAAAGTTAATGTTAAAATGATACAATAGCCCTGCTTTAACAGATTAATCCACATAGACACTATATTTCTACAGATGCCACCGATCAGTAAATCGAACATAGCTGATAGAATTCGTTTCTACATTGAAAGATTTCTTTTCTAATCTCCTTTATATTATGAGTGCTGTCTTTGTTAAAGTGTTATCATCTCTATCCGCATCTATTGTTGCGGCAAGATTAGATACGATTCTGCTGTCGAAACAAACTCGTCTTACCGATATTGTCTTTCTGAAAACTGATGTGATCAGATTAAACATTGCTGGAGTTTGCAGCGTTCTCAGATAAATTAGACGTCACATAGTCATTGTACTTAAGCTTCGGGTCAGACACGAGGTACAGTTCTGGTAAAACATTCTCCTGCTCCAGTTAAAAGGTCCGTACAGCGTCAATACCTGCACTCATTAATGCAGCATTGGTGTTGTCGTGCGTGGACACGTGTCTTTCCATTTTAAAGCTTCAGATAATTTACCCTTCAATTGTTTCACCCTCGAGTTGCTGTACCTCAAACGACATGTTTTGTGATATCTACCTAGCTTGCTATAGAGATATTTTCCGAGACTTTCAGGGTTAAGAACAGGGCACTTGTTCATGTGCGAATCAGGATTAAGATCGATGTTGCACAGATCCTGACGATTTCTGTAGAATGTAGATGTCCACAGATAGTATGTTGCGAAATCGACGAAGAAACTTTTATCTTTTCCTTGAATCAGACTATCCTTTTTCGTTTCTAACGTCTAGGGAAATTCGTATTGTTAAAGAAGAATAACCTCTCATACTCTTAAAATTAAATCGAGATAATATGTATAATAATTATATTTGCGAGCAAAATTTTCACACAAACCTGTTCAACCTGGCATATGAAACACAAGTCTCAGTCCATTTCAAACAAATCAACATCTGGTCCACTTGATTGGGAACTAAATGAAGAAAGTCTCCACATTTTCTTAGTTCTATTCGAGGAGGGTGACAAAGGCGGAACTTTTTCCACTTGGATGGCAATAGCTTCTTCAATCTTCATCACAAGAGGATTCGTCAATTTCAGAAACAGCACTGTACACCTGCAAATACTTTATTACTTCCCACATTTATATCAACAGTATCAAATCACATAAGTTTGAGATCGTACAAGTGTTATATCATTTTAAAAGTTTGCAAATCCGATAGAAATGGATTAAAAATTACTACTCGCTGTCTATTTACCTTTGAATAATAATGTTTTTAAATGTTAGTAAAACAGGAGGAAACCACTCACCCTGTTATAGTTGTCTTTTACATAGTTAAGACACTGAATACACAAAAAAGAGGTTTGCTTTGGTGAGCACAACCCAGGATTGATCTTCTGCAGCAGGGCGAGGAATTCTCTAGACTGTTTTGTCATTCGTTCACTTTCAGAGCGGAAGAAAACTGTTTCATTAAAATCCTTTATTTCTATTCGGGTACAGATACAGCACTCTGAAAATTGATGAATGGTCACATTTTGGTATACCCTACGGCAAAGTCTTATGTCTGTGGTAAAAGAATGATATTCTTTAAATAGTTTTTCATTAAAGCCTAAACTTAACTTCTACCAATTCAAAATTGTTTACGTCGGTCTCCCCTCCTTGAGCCACTTTTCACATAGCTATTGAGTATAAATCACTCTAGCACAAGCGATTTCAAACCCCCTCCCCTAGGGTGGATTAGGTTATATGTGAACTGTGCTCTAGTGCATGACTGACTTTACATTATGCAGAGCATGCAAAGTTTTGATGTTTCATAATCTTATGAATAAAGTATTAAAAATCGTGACATAAAAAGCAGTGGTCGCCCGGTGCCCCGGCCAAAATCACAACCCCAGCCCTTCCCGGCCCCGGCCAAAAATTGGCAATTCGCTGGGGGTAAACCCCGGCCCCGGCCAATTCTCAGTGGTCAGCCCCGGCCCCGGCTATATTGGGGCTCTCCGGCCCCGGTCAGAATCCTGCCCCCGGTCGACCACTGATAAAAAATTAACTCACTGGATTTGTCCAAAAGCGAGAGAAAGTACTGAGAAAGCACTTATACGTCACCACCAGAGGGCCTAGAGAGGTTATCTTTGTCTGTTTAATTGAATATTGAGTATATAATATGAGATTTAAGATAAACATGATAGATATAACGTCCAAATTCTAAAGTTCCACCAAAATTGAGTCACATTAAACTTGGTTAACACAACAATTTTAGTTCTTCATTATAGTAGGTGATTTGACATAATGAAGTGTAGACTAAATTATTATTTATAATAATTACCTGTCGGAGGGATTTAAGTGTTCCTTTGAAAAGTACTTTTCTGGAAGGTTGAGAGCTTTCCATACATCCAGAAAGCCAAATTGGATTTGTCCTTCTTTCGGGCATATGCAATCTTTGATATGATGCCTTGTACATTTTGAAACCCTGCAGTTATCATTATTCAATACTTATAGAGCCTATAATAAGGGGTTAGGGGTCGTTCACATAATATTGTGTAATTGCAATATAGTAAGGTTACTGTACATTTCCAACCCTTTGTCATGTATATCACAACAGATGATGTTAAAAGCATAATAATATTATGATACAGTTTTACAGTTTTTGTTAAGTGTTGATAATCTAGCTCTTATCTCTATTTTATCGCTACATAACAACTGCCATTTTGCTGGTACTGTGTTTTTACTTTATACAAGTACAAGTAAACGATGGAGGAAATGGATACTCTTCAAAGATTGTCAGTTTATTCTACCTACATTACTGAAGAGTATGAGGTCTATAACGGTTGGATCACTGAACTCGCGGAAGCTACGAACTGTTAGTGACAATAAATCTGAGTTTTCAGTTGAAACGTTCAAAAAGCCAGTGAAGTCAGTTTCAGTAAAACATTTGTAATTTGTATTCTGCGTATCAGACTACCGATAATCATGTAAGTACGTTTCTGGGTAACAAGAAAGATATGGAGGAGTTGAAGAGCGATCTTATCCGATCGCAAAGTACTGTTATCAAGCTGCAGGCTGAACTTCTGGAAACTAAATCGAAGCAGTTGGAATCCGTGCACTCACCGTCAAGACCGCCGTTCAAGACACTGTCCAAGCTGAGATGAAGTCATACGGTCAAGCTGTGACTAAAAATGCACCTGTGCTTGCAGAAGAGAGTTTAAAAAAGGTTGTACAGAATGCTGTATCGGAAGAGGATCGCAGTAGGAATGTGCTCATCTTTGGTTTGAAGGAGACTGATGAAGAGGAACTGCAACTGTGCAATAAAGTTACCGTGATTTTTCAGCAGATTGAAGAAAAACCATGTTTTGAAGCTATCTGGGTTGGGAGAAAATCAGCCAACAAGACGAGACCAGTCAAAGTTTCGCTAGGTAATTCTAACTTACCGTTCATCAGATATTAGTAAATGCCAAAAAGCTGAGACTGTGTGAAGATCATAAGACTGTTTTCATCTCTCCAGATCGATCACCTGAAGATCGAGCTATCCATCAGCGGTTGGTCTTGGAAATGAAACAGATAGCCAAAGCAGGCATGGCTCCACCGTGTAGGTTCGGGTGGGTGCGCACCCACCCAAAGGATGTTGCACCCACCCAAACGATTTGAAAATGTTCACACAAAAATTGTCAAATTTTGTATAAACTAAGGGTCAATTGACTTCTGTAATCAATTGAGACTGTTTTGGAGATATTAAAATACGTTTAGGAGAGTAAAATTCCAAAATTTTCCAGGGGGCTTCACAAACCCCCCCCCCCCTCCTCGTGCGCCAAGCTGCACCCACCCAAAGATTTTGAGCTGGAGCCATGCCTGAGCCAAAGAAGACACAAAAAAAAACATAATTATATCAGAAGTGGTAATATTTGTAGGTTGTTGTAGAGCCCACACTCCAGCCATGCACTGGAGAAAGCCTTCGCCCTGGTACCATCCTGGATGATGGGGCAAGGCTCGACATAGCAGCTAGAGGTTTGTGGTCACCAATGGAGATGGCATTTTTTGATATCAGGGTTTTACACCCCGGAGCCAAATCCAACGCTAATCACAACACCCCAGCAAAGATGTACAGGAAGCATGAGAGAGAGAAAGAAAGGAAATACGGAGACCGCTGTGTACAAATTGAAAAAGGAACCTGCAATGGCCTTGTATTCTCGACCACCGGAGGTATGGGCCCACAGGTTCCTTAAACGAGTAGCAACACTTCTGGCAGCCAAGACCAGCCAGGACAAAAGCCTCATCATGGCAAATCTAAGACGTCGTTTGAGGTTTGAGCTACTTAAGACAGTATTGATTGCAGTGAGAGGACACAGAGGACGGTATTATGAGAAAGCAATACCTGTTGACGAACTGGACCTAAATCTTGCACACACCACCAACGATGAAGACAGGGGTGATGATGTTGATGATGAAGATAATGAAGTTGATGATGAGGCTGAGAATGTAGAGGAAGAGGTCTCAGAAGAGTGAGCTGAAAAGAAGACAAGTTTCTATTCTAATTTATTGATTATTATATTCATTGAAATAAACATATAATATCCATTACTCCAGGAGTGATGACAGGATACAAAAATTCAGTGAGGACAAGATGTTAGAGAGTGATACATAATAATGAGTGATATATACGTCCATAAGTTTTTAATTTTGATTGTTGATATAAGCGGAATAAAAATAATTTATTTCATTTGTATTGGACGGGACATACACAAAGATGCTACGCATGTTGCTGGGTATCTCATGGAAGGACAAAGTCAGCAATATAACTTTGTATGGTAGTCTACCAAGGCTGTCAAACAAGTTACGAAGCAGGAGACTAAAAATGGCGGGACACTGCATCAGACATCCTGAGCTACTTGCCAGTGATTTAGTCTTATGGAAACCTATGCATGGTAAAGCACAGCAAGGCTGACCAAGACAAAGCTACTTGTCTATGTTACTGAAGGAAATTGGGACAAACTCAAAAGAGGAACTGTGAACCCTGATGCGGGACAGGGATATATGGAGGGGGTTATCTGGCGTAGATCGGACTTAGTTCCGACAAAGTAGTAGTATTTCATTTCATTTCATTAATAACCTGAATGGTTGAAAAGTTGATTGATGTAATTTCGATAAACAGGGCGTCGTTCAACTCCACTCATTTCGTTCCAAGCTGGAATGTAGTATTGTTTAGTGTAGGTTTGTTCATGTACCTCTCATCATCAAAAGGTTTCAACTTATACAGCATCGATAACATCATCTAAAAAAGCTGTTTGAACAGCTTAAGATTCAGTTAAAATTACATTATTCAGATACAGTTTGCGAAATGAAACATTGTCAGCCTGTATTTAATTAATTATAATAATTATGGTAATTTAGCTAAAAATCAAACCATTTGAGTTTTCATTGTTATCAAAATAATGTCGATCTAAATTCCTCTTAATCTGCATGGCTGTGAGCGGATCGAAGTCTTTTAACAAACCACACAAGCTTCTTTCATCAAGAAGATTCTTGAAGTGATCCGCATGTACACAGAGAACTGTCTTAGCTAGTTCTGGGTCCGTAAACATGTCACCTTCTTTCTAATGGTGATTGTCAAGTTTGTTCAGCAACATAATTCAGAATTACAGAAATTATTTGAATCTACTAGAGATGAAATGGCTTAAATAACTTGGCAATAGATGTAACTAAACAATACATATTGTAGTTTGACTACTTCTTTGGAACAATCAAAGAACGGGGGAGCTAAGGGAATGATTGCTCAAAACGAATGATATCTTCAGTGGCGTAACGTTGCCTGTTGGCGCCCCCCTGCCGAAAAAAGCGCCCCCCTGTTGGCGCCCCCTCCCCTTTTGGTGCCCCTCCCTAAAATTGAACAAATTAGGTGATTTTAAAGAATACGCCGGTAAAATCTCTAAAAAAGTGTGTATCTAGAGCAAAACGCGCAGTTTTGCTAGTACTTTAGTTAAGTTTTCGAAATTGTCCCACATTCAAACGACGATTTGGCGCCCCCCTAAGACGGCGCCCCCCTGCACAGCGGGGTCAGCAGGGCCTTTCGTTACGCCACTGGATATCTTCATGAATTCAATGCAGCATCTATACATTTATTCGAAATTAGTGATGGATGAGGGGGTTTAAGTCAGGCATTCCTGACATTTACTCTACTACTATTTATAAATTCAAAATCATGTTAAGAAGATAGCAGCAACTAATCTATATTATTTACCGTGCTCTATTTTATGTGTACTGAAGAGTGCCTTTACAATATTCCACTTTGTGGTGTAGATTTCCTCCATATCCAACAGGCAACACTGAATGAGTGATGGATGAGGGGGTTTAAGTCAGGTGTTCCTGACATGTATTCAAAATTGCATTGAGAAGATAGCAGTAACTAATCTATATTATTTACAGTGCTCTATTTATGTACTGAAGGGTACCTTTACAATATTTCAGTTTGTGGTAGGGTTCCTCCACATCCAACAGGTAACACGGAATGAGTGATGGATGAGGGGGTTTAAGTCAGGCATTCCTGTCAAAAGATCTTTAATTAATCTTGTAAGGGTACCACACAGTAGACATTATATTGTTGATTGTGAACCAAAAGTTTATTCATACCCACAATCGATAAATTATAAATCCAAGTAGTCATATAAGCAATGCAAAACTAAATTTGTGAAATTGTATTAACAAAAGGTAATCAGCCAAGTAAAGGTATCTCAACAATATAACATTGAAGTATTAGAAATGGCACTCTACTATTATAAAACACTTAACTGTACTGTATTAAACAATATTAAATGAAATTAAGCCAGAGAAGGCATGAACTTCAGAAAAGGACAAAACACTAACGGTACAAAAACTTAAATGAGTTTCAGGGAAGGGTAACTAAAATTTTACGGTAGCGCTCGATTTTATTCAAACATTTTCAAAGTGCTCAGCACCACGAAAAATATAATTTTTTCTTCCGTTTTCAAAACTTGTTTTGACGCTGAAAAAATATCAAATAGTATTATTGAACAGTATTAAAACACTTTGTGGGCAAAAATTTTTCATTGTGGATGCATAAAGAGCCGAAAAAATTTAGCGCGCAAAAAAACATTTTTTTTGGGAGGTTTTTAGAAATTTTGACCGGGTACCATTTTCAATTTGGTTATTTCATTAGTGTTAACATGTGCGGCTCATTTAATGGTATTAGTAACCAGAATATCTAAACTTTTAATTCAATTTTACTTATCAAAACTTTTGAAAAACCTCAAAAAAAGGCCATTTTTTGGTCCAAAAAACGGTTTTTTCCAAATTAGACCGGGTACCATCCATTTTAAACACTTCTAACCAATTTTAATCGATTCTACGGTCAAAAATACGTCTTTTAAGATGGGTCTGGTGATTTTAGTGTATCGAGCAGACAAAGCCCGTAAGAGCCTTTACTAAATCGTGAATTGATTAGGCCATC